CCCCACCCCGGGTGGGGGGCGGTCCCTCTGTGGGGCTGGGGGGGACCCACAGGTCTGGGGTGTGCAGGGGGCAGCTCTCCCTTCCTATAGGGCTGGAGTTTGTGGGGAGTTGCAGCTGGGGGACAGGGGGGTCCTGCTCCTGGGGTGGCTCTGAGTGGGGGTCCCCGCTGTGCAGTGAGGTGTGGGGAAGCCAGCAGAGATGCTGTGGAGCTGAGCTAGAGCAGCAGCCAGCACTGTCCCTCTGCAAACCTGCATTGTGCTTCTTGGTGGAGGGAGGAGTGCTTGGGTTATCTGAGGTCTGAGTCACCCCCTTGATCTTTCCATAGCCCTGACTGGGGTTAAACCCAGGGTGGAGGTGAGCGGCTGCTGCAGCACTGTGATGTGGGGAAGCCAGCAGAGATGCTGTGGAGCTGAGCTAGAGCAGCAGCCAGCACTGTCCCTCTGCAAACCTGCATTGTGCTTCTTGGTGGAGGGAGGAGTGCTTGGGTTATCTGAGGTCTGAGTCACCCCCTTGATCTTTCCATAGCCCTGACTGGGGTTAAACCCAGGGTGGAGGTGAGCGGCTGCTGCAGCACTGTGACCACACATGGGGGCTGCTCTGCAGAACCATAGAATCATGGTTGGAAAATGATCATTGAGTCCAACCAGCCTTGCTGATTGTGGCCTGGCCTGCCTGTGTTGGTGACAGGTGATGCATGGGGTGATGGTGGCAGGTGACCCACTGGGGGTTGCTGTGGGCTAGAGGCAAGGGAGGGCTGCACTGAAACACCAGCCGTTAGGAGCTCTCTGGAGCCAGTGTCTTTGCTTTTGGCCTGGGAAACCTGTTGATCTCCAGGATAAAAAGCCCATCTCCTGCTCCTGTGGAGGTGCAACATAGCTACAGAGCAGTGATCCCTCCAGGGACAGCGTCAGCAGCTTGTGACTGTAGGCGGTGATCTCTGGCTCTGCTGGAGGCACCAGGACTTGGTCCTTGCTGGGCTCTTCTGCCCTGGTGTTATTGCTCAGGCTGTGGGAAGGAGGCAGGTTGTTGTGTGCTGGGTCTGAGTTGGGACTCGTTACCCGTGTGTTTCCCTTCCTTGCTGTTGGGTACCAACTCGCAGGGCTTAGGTACTGTTCCTTTATGCTGTTGTTCTTGGGCATTCTGACTGAACCCTGTTCCAGGCAAGAAGATCTTAGCTTTTATTCAGAATCGCTGTGACTTACTCCAGTCTGGTTGTAGAGGAGTACTTGGCTTGTCTCTGGAGCTACAATGCTGCCCACGCACAGCGAGAGCCCGACTTTGATCTGAAAAGCTGCTGATATTGGAGTTGAAGGAGACATGGTGTGAATGAGGCTATTAATATGGCATTGCCATGGTTAGAGTGCCATGCTTCTATACTTGCCCTTGATTGGAATATTTGAACTGGGCACTTTGGAGCCACTTTAGGGCTCCTGGCTTGTTCTTTGCCCCCAGCTTAGTTGCAGAGCAGTGTTTTCCCTGGAGCCGCTGGTCCCTGACATGCGGGATGCAAGTAGCCCCCGAGGCTCCTCCTTCCCTTCTATGGGGTGTTTATGAGGCATCTCTGAACTAAAGAGTCAATATTTTCACTGTACACTCTGCACAGTGTCTGAGTCATTGTGATATAAAACTGCTACTTAGCGTTATCAGTTATCTGTCTACCTGGCTGTTTGCACAGCTGGAGGGTTTGCTCTTCTCATCTCCAAGGGTGTGTGCTGTTCATCCCAGGCACTATCCTGGTCTCGCAAAGCCTTCCTGTGCTACTTCCTAAGCTTTAATAGGTAGAGGCTTTTAAATCCAGTGGAGGTTTTGGGATGAAGCCAGTACTGACTGTATCTGCTTGGTGTTCAGCCTTTGTGAACTGAGACAGACAAAAAGGGCAAAGAGAGCGTGTGGTTTGTGCTGGGGGCTGAATTCACCCCCTGTGGCACTGGGAGCCCCTCGGGAGAGGGGTGAGCAGAGACCTCAGCCTCGTGCTTTGGGTGCTGTGCCTGCCTGCAGGTGCTTTAACCAACGCTACTCTTCTTTCACAGCCTGCATCTCCCAGGACATCCGGCTCCCTGTTGCAGATAGTTAGGGAACGGCGGCCGGAAGATATCGTGCTGTACGGAAAGATAGGGCCCCTAATAGCCAATAGTGTTTAGTCTATGGTGTAAGCAGACGGATGTGACGTTGTAAACCTAGCTATATAACACCTTGTTACCCATCAATAAAGGCCATTTGCCGTCCACCACATTGGTGTCAACTAGCTGATAGCCCGAGTGGTTTGGGGGTGGTCGCCGTGCCGTCCCTGAACCAGGTCGCTGCAGCCATTTGAACCGCAACAAGTGGTGCCGAAACCCGGGAACATCATCGCCTGGATGAGCGAGCAGCGTGAGCAGCAGCCAGAGCAAGTGGACCACCCCGGCGAAGGGGACACTACCGAATCAACAAGGAGGATGGAAGCCCTCATAAAGGTCGTATCGCAATTACATAACTACTGGGGGATTGATTGTAAGCCAAAAGATTTTACTCTTGCAGTTACAAGGCTTTTGAAAATTAAGGCTATAG